TTTTCATACTGCCTTCGAAATCTCAGGTCTATTTCATACTTACAGCACCTCTCAGTTGGGACTAAGTGACATTTCAATTGCTCAACAGCCGCATGTGGCTAGTAGCTACCGTATTAGACAAGACAGGTCTAAAATTTGATGTCTTGCTCATCAGCCCCCAGTTCTGTTGATGGCAGATAAAAATAAACTGTAAAGTTAAAGAAAACTCCATTTCTTCCAGTTTAAAAGACTCTCTTTTCAGATGCACTCAGGCCCATTTGTCCTCCCTCCCCCAACCCCGAAATCGAGCAGGGTACAGGGAAGCTGAGCTATCCTCATGGTGGGAGGGATGAGATGTGGCTGCTGCTTGCATCTCTGCCCACACTCACCCATCCAGCCTGCCCTCTAGGGGAGGAGAATTGCCTGGTTATCAGGCTCAGGGGGCTGAGGAGGCCCTGGATGACCACACAGGGGAATTCCCACACCTGATGCAGCCCCACTCCAGGCCTGCTCCCATCCGCTGGCTCTCTCCACACGTCCACTCCCCCAAACCTGTCTAGGGGTCTCCAAGCCCATGGCACCTTCACCACCTTCCCCCACCCAAAAGTGGGGCTCTGGGCCACTAGCACTCAGCTCCAGTCTGCCTTCCTCCAGGAACCGGAAGGGCTTTCTTAGTTGTATCCCTGAGTGGGCCCTGGAGCCTTGTGGATTAAGGCTGCCATCGGTAGTCAGGCCACTTGATTTTGGATCTTGGCTCCACCCATTAGTAGCTACATGATCTTGAACAAATTACTTAACTCCTCTCTTCCTCTATTTCATCACCCGTAAAATGGGTATAACCCTAATACTACCATCTCCTAGAGTTGCTTTGTGGATTGAATGATGCGTATACGTGAAACACTCAGAAGAGAGACTGGTACCAGGTGCGAGCTCACCAACATGAGTTGTTCCAGTGGAGCAGAAACTTCTAGCTCCACTAGCTGCCTTCTTCCCTCCTCTGCACTGTGTCCCCGCCTTCCCCCAGCTTCACTGGTGGAAGGGCTACAGGGAAACAAACCAGTCTATGGATTCAGAAAAATGTATCAGGAGATATTTCTAAAACATCATCCCCATTATAGTTAGTGCACTCAGTCAGGTCACCGCCCAGCCATAACCAGGAGCCATCTTGTCGCTTTAAAATGACTTCTCAAATCTCTGCTCAGATGGGTGGTAGATCATTCAGAGGATGCACCTTCCGCCCCTTCTAACACCTCACAGTTGTCCTGACATTCTGTCTACATGTTCAACAGGTGAGTTTCTTCCAGTCTGACTGTGGGATCCAATGGGCACCTTTGAACTTCTCCTAATGTGCTCGAAATCCCCTCCAGGACCTGAGGCAGCTCACTCGGGGCAACTCCACCCCAGGGGCAGCTCTTACTCACCCCAGTCCTGAGCCTCTGGCTTCTGGGGAGCCCTTCTGGGCCTTCTCTAGATTTTGCTGTAGGCTTTGCCTCGCGCTGGGTTCCAAAGCTTCCCTGGAAGTCTCTCCCTTAAATCTTACATTTTGTTTTATTTATAACCCACTCTATTTTACAAGATTTAAGATGGCTTACAAGGATTATGTAAAATACTATTAGATATATACGTAACCAAGTGAAAAATATCTATTGCTATTTTTTTAAAGTTACCTTACACAATGTATTACGTGGTGAATTGCTGTCTGAACATTATGCATGTGTGTGTGTGTGTGTGTGTGTGTCTGTACACCTATGTGTGGTGCCCTCACACATGTATGGAAAAGAGACAGGTAAGGTGAACACCAAATTTAACAGATGGCCACAGGAGGGCGGGGATTATAGTTGACTTAGTTTTCTTCTTTACATTTTTCTATATTTTCTTAACTTTTTGTAGAGCACCTATATTTGTTCTATAGTAACGAAAAAAAGCAATAAAAAAATCCCTAAAGAAAAATAGGTGAGAAAGAAAAAGCCAAACCAAGAATAAAGACATAAATCGGAACCCACAGTGAGGCTAAAACAACTCATTTTCCATGGCCGAGCCACACGCTTGTAGCTGGATTTTCTAAGAGTCAATGGATGAGGGAAACCTGATCAGTTACACGGGTCACAGGGCCCATATGACATAAACAAAATGATTGCTCAGAAGAGTCTGGCTGTTCCGGATATGGCAGCCTGAAGCAAATACCTCCCATGGGTCCCCACGGAGGACACCGTGTAACACAATGAATGCTGCCAGTGATACTCTCATGATAAACACCACCAAGTTTCTCAGGGCTGTTCTTCTAAGGCCCCTCAGCGCAGGCTAACGGCATCTCGCCAAAGTGCAGGGTAGTGAAAGCAATTCCTCGAGGAGTGGAAACCATGAGTCCAGGTTCACAGTGAGTCTAACAATGCAGAGGGAGACGTTAGAGAATCAAGACAGGACACTGATCACCTTTCAGGGAATCTCCTCCTTCAGCACAGCTCCTCCTAGGCTCAGCTCAGCTCAGTTCAGTCCCCTAGGTCATCAGGCAGAATGCTTATGCCTCTGCCCCACAGAGGCTCCAGGCACCAACTCATCTAAACATTTGTCCATTCCATACATATTCCCTGAGCACCTACTGGGCACTCCGATTGCACAATTACTCCCAATAATCCCAGATCCATCAAACATCCAGAGCCCCAGGCCAGGACCACCCCATATCACCTCAGAGCTTGCAGGAAGAAAAACCCCATCTTCCTGCACCGGAACTCCAGGACAGGGGAGGAACGTGCGCCTGCTTGCATACCAAGAGGATCCACCATGGACAGTAGCCAGCTGGAGGAAAGGACTGTCAGGCTGAGTATGGGCTCATGGGAAGGACTGCATGATGGATGGGCTCTGGGTCCTGGCTGAGGAGAACGCACTTGGCAGAGACGTGATGTTGCTCCTGCATAGCACCCATGACTCATATTTTCCTCCTTGCTTTGGCTCTGGGTGGAGGGACCCAAAGACTTCTCTTCCTCCCCAAAGCTTTCTCTTCTCTCCACCCTTATGAGAAGAGGCCAAGAATACTGCTGGGCCATGGTGATGGTGGGGGATCCACCACCTGAATACCCATGGCTACCAACTTTCCATCTCAACCCCAACCACAGACCTCTCCTCTGAGCCCCAGATCCACACATCCAATCTCCTTCTCGACACTCAGCTGGAAGTCTTCAGGCATCTCAAGATCAGCACAGTCAAGTCCCCCAAACATGGGAGTCTTCCATTCTTTCCCATTTCAACAAGTGGCATCGCCCTCCATTGACTGTAAAAGCCGGAAACCTGGATGCCTTCTTTGACAACTCCCTCTCCTCTACTTCCCACAGCCCACCTCTCACTAAAATCTATCGATTTTATCCCCCAAACATGTCTGCCATTTCTTTCCACTTCCAGGTCCATTGTGAAAGTCTACACAAACCCACCACACGAACTGGTGAGCCTTCAGGGGCACCCGCGGTCTCCTCTGGCTCTTTGGGCTGTCCCAGGATGGGGTGAGCACCAGAAGCCACAGAGGAGCAGGAGCACACACCACGTCCTCAAGTTGTGCCGTGTGCTTCTCCTCTCTCTTCTTCTGACATCACCATCTCCCAGGTAAGTGGTCGCCTTTCTCTTTCTCTTCCCTTTTCTTCCCTCACCTCTGTTTTCATCTTCCATTCTGCTGCCTTCTCTTCCACTCCTTGGCTTCATCTATTTCTCTTCTCTTCCTTCCGTCACTCTCTCTCTCCCCACATCTGCACTCTCTTCCTCTTCTGCAAATGTGACAGTCACAGAAACTCAGCGTTGACAGACCTCACCTGCCCTTCCAACTTTCCAGATGGGGATGCAAGGCTCAGAGTGGTGAAGCCACGCATCACATTCTCACAGCGTTGGCAGGAGGGTCAGCCCTGGAGCTTGGACATCCTGACCCCGGCCCAGTACTCTCCCCGACTCATACCTCACTATTCCACTGGTTTTCCTTGTTCCTGTCCTTTATTCCATGACTGTAGCCCTCTGCTAAGGACAGGGCTGTTCATTCTTCATACAACACAAATCAATAATCAGGGCTCTTGGGTATGCCTGTCTGTCTGTCTCTCTCTCTCTCTCTCATTTACTGTACATACACACACCTCTCAGAGGAGAGTGGTTTTACCCTCTCCAAATGTCCCTTCAGTGGCTTCCCAGACTTCGGTCTCCTCCTGGCGAGGCTGATGCATTCTGTTGCAGGTGGACACACCTAAAACAACCCTCTTCAAAATCCCATCACTTCACCACAAAGGATTTATTAAAATACGATGAAAAATGTGCCCAAAGGAGATGGGGAGAGTACTGGCCTGACCCTCCGCCCTTCTCTCCTGTAGCCCCATACGGTCTTGGCAGAGAGGGCTGCAGAAATCAAATAACATCTTCGGAACCCATCCAGATTTTACAGAGCCATCTGTGGAAATGCTGCTGGCCAGGGTGGGAGTGACAGGGTGTGTTGTGGCTACAGATTCAGGGTCCAGGCAGACGGCCAGAGGGGCGGGTCAGCCAAAAGGAGGGGACCATTAAGGCGGACAGTGGTGAGAGGTGGGGACAGGTGGATGACTCCAGATGGTGGTGCACTGTCCTGTTGTGACCACTTAAAACAAGTAGGTAACACCCGCACCCCCTGAAGGTGGGTCAAGTGCACAGCCGCCTGCACAGGACGGGGGCGGGGCACATAATCTGAACTTGGACAGGTCTTGCAGCCCTGGGGTTCTACAGAAAATCCACCCTTGGGCAGCTTTTCAAAACAGACATTGAGCAAAGAAGGACGCATTCGAATCCCAGGCTCCTCCTGAGGTCCCCCAATGCACACCAGGCCTCCAGAGCCTGGCAAAGGACCATGCTCGGCTCTGAGCGTGAATAGAGGTACAAAAAGGTAAACAAGGCTACAATTTCTTTTTCAGACTGAGACGATTTTGTACCATTTTATGATTTTCAGCCAATGTAATTCATGAAATGTGTACCAAAGGGGATTTAATATTTATACCTTCCTTTATAAGACAATGTGAACAAACCTCAGATGCGAAACAAACTATCCCTTGTCAGGCAGTGAAGAGTGGCCACAGTGCCCACAGGTCAGGACACTGAGGACGATGAGCATGGTGGAGGCCCCACGACGAACTCGCAGACGCCCAAGGAACAAGACCGCAGAAGCTAAGACAGCCCACGTGAACCTCGCCACGCGAACAACACGCACGGAGTTCAAGGTGTACATCCATCACGCAGCGTGTTGAAGGGAAGACGGTGCCTACAGCAGGAAGGGAACCTACAGGAGGAAGAGGGAGGGATCTGATCAGAGGGAAGATGGTGGAGGGGCGAGGGGAGAACGAGAGAAGGGCAGGGAAAGAGAGGAAGAAAAGGAAGAACCAATGCAGAGGAGGGAGGAAGCTCCGGGAGCAAAAGGGGCAGGGCGATGAGGAGAGGCTGCAAGGGGTGCCAGGGGGACAGGAGAGGAGAGGAAGGCAGGAATGCAGGATACTGGGGACCCAGGGAAAAGCCTGTGAGGACTGCACAGTGGAGGGGACCCCAAAGGAGGCCCTTAAGAAGAGGCTCTCCAGAGACCTTCACTGCCTTGGAAACCCGTTGCTGAGATGCTGGCACTGCATTAAGGAGTCACCTGTGCACCCTGCTCAGCTGTCTCCCCACAGCCTGGATTCTTCCTTCCAGACAAGGCCTGCTCAACCCTGGGGGCCCTAGCCCCCCGTTCTCTCTTTTCTGGACCCAGCCAAACCCTGGAGGAGCACAGAACCGGCACCTTCCCTCCCAAACATACTCGGACCTTCAGCCTGGGAGGAAACAGGGCAATGATCCAACGGGAATGGGGAGAGAGGCAGTTCCTGATCCAGGACAGGAGCCAAGGCCCAGCCTCCCATTGTGACACAACTTCCCTTCCAGCTGCTTCTGCAGGGCTATCCCCAGGGGAAGGGGACGAACACCCTCCCGGCTCTGTACTAACAGCCAGAGGGTCTTCTGCAATTGACCCTGCGCCATGGGGAGACTGTCTGGCCTCTCTCGTGCCCACAGGGCAGCCATGGGAGCTCCCTATGGAAGCGGGAGTGGGTAGATTATGACCCTCCACCTCCATTAGATAATGAATCCAGGATCCCAGTCAGTGTGGGCACCACGAGATGCTCCTCCTTGCTCAGCACAATTCCCAAAGCCCTCTGGGGCCAGCGTGAGCTCTTGGCACCCAGGACTCCTAAGTCAGCCCCAGGCCCCACGGTCCCTTCACCTCCGTGCCTAGGATGCAGGACTTTTCCTGCCCCACACTGTCCCGTTTCCCACCCCTGACCAAGAGCAGTCAGTGAAGGCAGGGCATGCCCAGAGGACCCCCAAGAAGGCTGAGGGGTGCCCACTCCATAGGCCTCCCAGCCTCATCTTTCTCAGGCCCTAGACCTGGGCAGTCTCCCCAGGGGCTAACGTGGAGGACACCTCTCTTCTTCGGAGAAGGTCTTGGCCAGCAGGCTGGCTCGTCCCCTCGGCACTGGGAAGTACTGAGGCCAGGCCCTCCCCTGTCCTCTCCCGGGAGCTCCGGGCTGCTTTGATGTGGAACAGCGATGACAACGGCAGTCACTGGTGGGAATGAGCTTTAATGCTGCCGTTTTAAATGACAGCCATTGTTCCTTGGCAATTTTATGATCAAGGCAAAGAAAGAGGCCTTTTAAGAAATGATGTAGCATATTTAAGAAGCCCTAGAGGATTGGAGAAGGTGGAAGAATGAAGAAGCTCCAAAGAGGCGGCAGCACCATGCTGGTGTCTAGGAACCTGTCCCTTCCCCAGTGCCCCAAAGCACAGCCCATCAGGAACAGCCTCCCAACATGGCCGAGGGACTCCTTGGAGAGGCACCTAGAAGGCCAAGGCCACGCTGCTGCTGGGCGGCCTCCACAGCTGGGTCCAGCAGACCTAACCCGGGGCAGGTGGCGGTCCTTTTCCTCACACTAGGGGCTTGTGGAGCAGAGCTCCAGGAGGCACGTCCCTTCCATTCCCTTCCCCCCACCCAGCAAAGGGAGCAATGTAGGGAAAAGCACTGAACCCAAATCATAGGAGTGGGGTGATGGGCTCTGAACCACAGGTCTTCCTGGTGTGGTCCAGCCTGGGCTGTATCTCAGGAGGGTGCTGTCCAGCTGGCGTGAATGGCTTCTGACCCCTGACCTCCTGGCTCTGCCTTCACGGTCATCCTGCATTGTCACAGGGAAGCCACAGCTCTCCCTGTGCCACTCACCCCTCTCCACTGATGGAGACAGAGTTCTCCATTCCCACTCCCAGGGCCACCTGCTGGCCCACCTCCTGGTCAAGGCTCTTAAGCCAAACACCATCTCCCCGGGGCCCGCTGCCCTCCAAACTTCCCATTTCTGACTCTGGCCGCATCACCTTCCAGGGGACTTCTCCTTCTCCCTACTTGGTCAGGTTCTACTCCTCCTACAGAGTCCAAAAGGACCTTCTCCATGAAGCCCTCCTCGCCTTGTTCTCAGCAGTCTAGTCTAAATCAGTGGTTCTCAAAGTGTGGTTCACGGATCCGCAGCATCAGCATCATCTGGAAAATTGCTTGAAGTGCAATTTATTGGATTCCACCCGAAAGCTACTCAACCAGCTGAATCCAGGTGATTCAGATGCTAACGCCTCAGCACCTCCGGGGAAGGGCAGTGGATCCCAACCCCTGGAGTGCAAGCTGATGCTGCTGGCCCGGGCACCACACTGAGAACCACTGCTCTACACCTTTGGGGTGCTTCTGTCCACACCACTCATCTGGGACTCACATCTCCGCAGGGCAGGGTGAGTTTTGCCCATTTTGGCATCTCGATAGTACCTTGCAGATAGTCAACAAGTATCTCTTGGACTGGATTGAAAAATAGAGGCCTGTGACTTCTGAGCGCACTTCCACCCTGAGGAGACAACCTCAAGCCACCAAAGGCCTTTAGCTTTCTCAATGCAGAACACACAAGATTTAGTGAGCTACAGGTCACGGAGGGGCTTCCTGGCAGGAGAAGCCCTCCCTCTCGAGTGGCCGGTGCCTTGAGGTGTGGCCTGGAGAGTGGCAGCCAACTGCAGCAGGGCAGATGGCGTGACAGCCCGTGATGGCTCCCTCAAAGCCTCTAGCACCGTTATCACATCACACCATAACAGCAAGAAAAAGTTATTTCTATTTTAAATTGTCAATATTAATCTAATGCCGGCGATGAATGGAGTGGTGATGATAAATGGGGTGTTTAATAAAGATGAAAGCTCCAGCAGCCTAGGAGAAAACCTCCTTTGACTTAAAGTTATCGTCTTGATTAAAATTTCCATTTTATTATCCTAATCAGCAATCTTTGTTCAATGTGCTACAATTTCTATTTTCTCCACTTAGAGAGATAATTAACAACACTATAAACATATTAAAAGTAAAATGTTTATTAAAATTGCTCTGTTATCCATATTTAACTTATTTTTAGCAATGCTTCATCGAGACACGCCCCTGCCTCCAAGAAGACTTCCCCAAAAACCAACCTCTGCCAGGAGCCGCATCCCGTTCCCAAGGCCCCGAGGGGACAGACCACTCCATGTCCCGGTCACACGTTCTGGTGTTCAACAGCTCTGTCAACTTAACTCAGTTTCATTTCATTTCATTCAACCTGACATCTCTTTACACAGAGCATAAGAAACTCATTATTCTCCATTATGAATGTGTGGCTGGGGTCAAGTGCAGACACAGCTGGGAAACCGAGGCACAGGAAAATACAAAAATTTCTCCAAATAAATCACCTTTGCATCTCCGTGGAATGCAAAAGTTTTGCTAATTAAAGGTACCTAAGGAGCAAATAGCCATCAAGCACCAATTAGGAGCAAGGCTCAGGGGGAGGAAGCCACAGCACCTCACCATCCACAGCCTGACTCTGAGCAGGGCACCAGGACACACCCATCTCAAGGCCACAGTGGGAAAACTGTCTAAGTCTGATTTTTTTTTAACACAACACTGATCCTTATCCAGACACAGAATCTGTCTCCCCATATGGGATGTCTGCTCCACGCAATATGAAACGCTGGAGCCAGGTTAAAAAGGCCACCTGAGATCACCGGTGACACCCATGAAAGGAGCACGTGGCCAAGGGCCTTCTGGTCTCTCTTCCTGCCTTCTTCTTGACCTCCGCATCTCAGCGCAGACCACAGACTCAGTCCACCCACCTTATCTTGTTCTTTGAACAAGGCTGACTCTGCACCAGGACCTGTCCTCCCGAGGGCCATGAGAGGCCACCACTCCCGGGGAGGCCTTCCGTTTAAAAGCACTTTGGCACAGATCTCGTTTCATCCTCTCCAAGGCCTGGTAAAGCAGGTGCAATCTCCACATTTTACAGATGAGGAAACTGAGGCTTGGTGAGGTTAGGCACTTTGCCTCAAGATACACAGCTAATGGGCTGGTGGCAGTGCTGCTGCCGTCCTAGTCCCAGCTGGCTCCTGGGCAATCAAGGCTCTGGCCCACTTCTCCGGCCACAGGATGAGTGGCTACATCCGAAGCAGGAGGGGAACCAGGCCTGGCGCTGCCTCTGGGGGAAGCTGGCTCTGGGAGGCTTCCGTGCACAGCCTGTCTGGGAGGTGTTTTTCCATGAGGTGTGTGTTTTAACCTGGGTCACCCGGGGACCCTAGAGCTTCCACAGGGAAGGCCGCATTCGGTTAATCAGTGTGAACCGGCACACGCCCTCTGACCCCACGGAAAGGAAGGCACAGCAGAGCTGACAACACTTAGGGAAATGGAGGAAACAGCAATCCACACAGGCCCTGGGGTAAGGGCCATTAATCTCCCTCCCCTAAAGGAAATGAAATCATTATGTCTGCAGCAACAGAATCCAAAAGAACAAATTTCCTGCCAGGATAATAAATGGATTCTTTTGTGTTCGCCCTGACTCCCGTCACATGACCCTCCTGGCCCATTCCTCATCCAGGTGACTGGCTGGGTAAATACCCAGAGGTTTCAGTTTCAACTTCCAAAACGGACCGGGGAGCAGCCCACCAGAGCTCTCAGCCCGCCTGCCCTGTCTGCCCTGAGCCTTTCCTTCCCAGATCACAGCCTGCGAAGGTGAGCAAGGCTTCCGTGCGTTTCCATCCTCTCCCCAGGGCTTGCGTGAAGAGGCCGGTCCCCCAGTCTCAGCCAGGAGCAGGGTTTGAAGTAACTCGTGGAGAAGAGACAAAAAGAGCCATCTTACCACGGAACAGCTATCACACGATATAGTTCGGAGACAATAATGAATCGTCAATACAGGCGATGAGGTTCCCAGGGCCAGCAGAGGAGGGCCCAGGCGATGCTCCCGATCACGTGCTGGAGGGAACAAGGTAGGGCTGGGAGGTCTCGCGAAGGCAGCATCCAAGACAAGCTGGGCTGCATGACCTGCGCTAACATCCCCCTGAACAGACCCTGGAGCCCTGCCCTGGCAGGTCACAATGTACAAGCAACAAAACACTTCATGATGGACTTCTGTTCAGACACAACACCGAGCGCTCAGCTTCTAAAACGGGTCTGTGTTTGCAAAAGAACTGTTGCTGGCTTAACACCCAGGGAAAACGTGTCTGCTGCTGCTTGCCCTCCTGTCCCCTGGGTCCCTGAGAAGAAGCAACGCCTGAAGCAGAGAAGGAAACACAACTCAGTGGCACTGCTTGGCAGCCCCACTTCCCCAACGGTGTGACCCACTTCAGAAGACCCTCTGCAGATGTGAAGAGAAATGACCACGGGTCCTCTTCTGTCTGACGTGGGCGTGAAAACCTCCACCTCTTAGGTATGGGTGTGTCGGAGACAGCGGCAGGGGAAATGGTCCCCGTCACCTAAGAGAAGCAAAGGTGCCTCCTCTGAGAAAAAAGAGTGAGAGCCTGCAAGGCACTCCTGGACTCCACTGGAAAACTATGACATGTAAGTGCTTTGCAGTAGAACAGTGGATAGAAATGATGAGTGTCTTGGCAGGAAAAATAAAACCATCCCTCCTCCAGAGGCAGTGTGAGCACATACATGAGAGCTGCCGTCTGAGGTCTGCTCGGTTATCTCCCCAGACGAGGCTGGACCTTAGGATTCTACAGGATGAAGAAAGTGGCTAGCTGGTCTTGTCGCTCCCCACCCCTGAATCCCTGCCCCTGTCCAGAGAGCCTCGAAGCCACATGGACACCAGATCCCCCACCCCAGTGTCACTCCTCTGGCCTCTGTACCTGCAGCTCTTCCCTCGTGTCTGCCAAAGTTCTTGCCTGCAAGACTGTAAATTATCTATTTATGTCTGTCTTCTCCATTAGAGGTGTTTCTCCAGAACACACAACTTGTCTCATTTTTCTCTGCATCTGTAGAAAGATGGATGGATGGATGGATGGATGGATGGATAAGTCGATTACCCAAGGCATATTATCTTCATCAATCTCACATTTTATGGGAAGAAATGAAATTAATAGTCACAAAGCACTACTCTATGCTGGGTGTTGTTTGAGATGACTTCTACATCTTACCTTATTTAATTCACACAGCTATCCCAGGAAGTGAGTTTCACTTTTGACATTTTACAGATGAGAAACTAAGGATCAGTAAAGTGAAGCACTGCACTTGAGAACCAAAGCCAGGGCTGCACGAGTCCACATCCAGCATTCAAATGGATCACACCATCTGTCAGCCATCTTTAAGACTGTAAGTGCAACAAACATTTGTTGGGCACCTGCTGTGTGCCAGGCAGGATGCCACACATGGAGGAATCAAGAAACAAATCCGAAATGGATTTGGATGGAGCTCTGGGGGAGGTAGGGGAGGAAACCTGAGCTCTCCAGTGACTCCACAGCCAGGAAAAAGCTGATCACATAAAAAAGTACGCAACCTGGGGGAGACCCATGGCTCTGCAGAAGAAAGAGGCCAGCAAATTCTCTTTCTTAAAAAACAACTATAGGGGGCCAACCCAGTAGCGTAGTGGTTAAGTTTACATGCTCCGCTTCAGCAGCCCAGGTTTTGTGAGTTTGGAGCTCGGGTGCAGACCTACACAGCACTTATCAAGCCACACTATGGCAGCATTCCATGTACAAAATAGAGGAAGATTGGTAACAGATGTTAGTTCAAGGCCAATCTTCCTCACCCCAAAAAGAAGCAACTATAAAGTTGGGCAAACGTGACAAAAATAACAATCTCAGCCCTCTGAAAATTTACCAAAGACAATCTGAGAAGTGTTCATGTTTCCAAGGCTGAACTCTGGGTAAGAACAGTGGGAATCTGGGGTGTTCTTGCCTAGGGTTGCTCCCTCCACCCTACCACCGGCCCCTCCCCACCCCAGCTCTGTTGACTGGAGGTTCTGCCAGGGAAGGAAATGACATGAGAACAGCAGAGCTGTGAGGTCAAAGAGAACTCACTTGATCTGGAGTGGCTGGTGATGCCTTCGTACGGCAGCACTGTCAGCAGAAGTGAGGATCTCAGAGGCAAAGCTGTACTCATGGTTGGGGCAAGCATATTCCTGGCTGGTGCTGCACATATACCCAATGAAGACCAGAGAGGACCCAAGATATCTACACGCTCCTGGCCAGCTCTAAGGCTGTGCTTGCTCATAGGAGAAACGAAAAGTCCTCTTGGAAAGTCAAAGGCAGAGTATGTTTCAAAATGGCCTGAATTTTGAATGTGCTTTTTTACCCAAAGGCAGATCCATTGGCAAAGAATGGAAAACTTACTGGCTCAGGGTGTTTGAGCACGACCTCTGTCTAACCACTGGCAGACCTCTAAGCTACACAGGCAGAGGGGCTACTCCTAGGAAGCAAGACTTAAGCATAAAAACAAAAATTAAGAAATAAAAACTGAACTAACAGATCAGTGGCCACATACCTCTAGGGACACAGATTTCCCAGATTTAGCCCCGGCAAGTTACTGAACAAACAAATAAACAAAACAGTAACAACAGTCTTAAGGGGAAAAAATAGGAACCCAGAGTTGCTATAATATATTATCTAAAATGTCCCAGTTTTCAATTAAAAATATTATGACACATACAAAGAAACAGGAAAGTGTGACCTATACTCGAGAACAAAAGCAGTCAACAGAAACTGTCTCTGAGTCCCCAGATGATGGATTCAGCAGACAAAGACTTTAAAGCAGTTATTATAAATATGTTCAAAAACTAAAGGAAATCACATTTAAAGAATTAAGGAAGTGTAACAACAATGAATCAACAAAAAGAGATTTTCACTAAGGAGACAGAAATTACAAAGAAAGAACCAAATGGAACTTCCAAAGTTGAAGACCGCAATACCTGAAACGAAAAACTGACTAGAGGAGCTCAGCAGAAGACTCAAGATGGACAAAGGAGAAAATCAGTGAACTTGAAGAAAGATCAATGAAAATTATAACATCTGAAGAACACAGAAAGAAGATTAAAGTGAAAAGCAATAGATCCTCAGAAACTTGTTGGATAACATCGAGTACACCCATATATACTTGAAAAGAGTTCCAGAAGGAGAAGAAAAAGAGACAGAAAAAAAATTTGAAAAATAATGGCTTAAAACTTTTCAAATTTAATGAAAAATATTGATCTACATACGTTCAGGAAGTTCAATGAACCCAAAGTAGGATAAATATAAGGCGAATCATATGTAGATACATCATAGTCAAACTTTCAAAAGACAAAGAGAACATTTTGAACGCAGCTAGAGAAGAATGATTTATCACATAGAGAGGAACATCGATATGATTAATACCTGACTTCTTCTCTGAAACAATGGTGGGCCAAAGGCAGTGGGATGATATTCAAAACACTACCAAAAATCCCGTCAACCAAGAACTCTATATCCAGTAAAACTATCGTACAAAAAACAAGGCAAAATAAAGGCATTCCCAGATAAACAAAGACAGAGAGAATTCATTGCCAGCAAACCTGCCTTACAAAAAATACTGAAAGATGTCACTCAAGATGGAAGGAAATGGCACCAGAAGGTAATTTGAAAACAGAGGAAGAAATAAAAAGTACTGGAAAAGGTAAATATGTGGGTTAATATTAAAAAAAACTCTATGTATTCCTCATGCCTTCTCTTAATGTCTTTAACAAGCACAAGATAATATGAAGCAGTAATTGTGACACTGAGTTGTTGAGTTTATAATGTCTATAAGTGTGATAGAAACAACTTTAATAGCATGAAGGAGAGGATCAAGGCACCACTTCACCAGACCACTAAGGACATGTGGGGGAATTTAAGAGATGGAGACAGTGGGAAAGGTCCTCCAGGCAGAGAGAATGGATCAGCCAAAGTCTGCAGACAGGGAAGTCATGTTTGAGGAAGAGAAAGCTGTCTGACTGAAGGGCCTAGAGGATAAGGATGGAAGAGTCAGCCGCAGGTAACTGAGGCAGCCCACGAAAGGCAAGCGGAGGAAACAGGATTGGTTTTCCCCCATCAAAAGGAAATGGGAGGGCTTTTTGTTTTGTTTTTTGTTTTTTAACTAGGGGAATGGATCTTTCTAATTGGTGCCCTGGGAAAGGTCTTCCAGCTACAGCACTGAAATGGCACAGGTCCTGATGGAGCAAGTCCCATGATGGAGTGGACTCGGGATGGCGTGGACATGGAGGAGGGAGCTCACCCTAATATGTGGTGATGTCTATGATGTCCTCGTACTTTTATTCTGTCCCCAGCTCTCCAAGTCCCTGCAAATAAGCTCAGTAAGGTAGAGAGCAATGAAGGATATCCCGAGGAGTGGACAAGCCAAATGAATATGGGAATAAAAGAATTTAAATGGACCCATACACGGCACCAGACACTCTGATAAGCACCTCAAATGCCCCCATTTAAGCCTGAAAGGGAGATTTTTATTAAACCCATTTTATAGAGGAGGAGACTGAGGATACACTGGCCTAAGGTCACACAGAGAGGCCCCGGCAAAGCAAGATTCGGATGCACATGAACCTGATTCAACACCCATGCTCTTCCCACAGTTTCCGTCAGCTCTTTCAGGTAAGAAGGTGCCCCTTCCAAAGAGTCAGCGTTTGCAATCAAACAAATGGGTGAAACTAGTAGAGGCGAACTATTGAAGCTAGAGTTGCTCCAGCCTCCTTTCAAGAATCTCTCATCCCACTGCCCCCATCCCTGCCAAGGCTTCCCCAGAAAGCAAAATACCTGGGCTCAGCATTGCTCCATGACGAGCAGCAACCTCAGTACCTCCCACCCACCTCCCCCTACACACTGACATAGGCCTGAAAAACTGCCACCACCAACAGGCAGGCCCCAGTGACCAGCAGCGCAAGTAGCAAGTGGAAGAAGGCTGCTGGGACAGGAAGCCCCACTCTGCCAAGGCTCCCAGGCTGGGTCTGAACATGGCTAGGGCAGGCAGAGCACCTAATGGTGTCCTGGAAACATCCCGGCCACTGCTTGCTGCCACATCAAAGCTCTTCCTGGAAACCACAAAAATGCCCCCCGATGGCCAGGAGCTGCCAGTCACTCTGCAGCACCAGTGAGTTCTGCCCCTTCTTGGCACATCGTCGTCTCCTGGCGGGGTGCAGGGAGATACAGCCAGAGAAGGGGGTTCTGAGACTGTGGGAGACCACAGAGGGGTTCCCTCCCCTGGAAGAAGCCCTGAGATGGGGCAGCACATCGCAGTGCAAAACCCACCCTTCCTATTAACAGCTGCTGTGGACGGCCCAGCGACAGTCACTACAATAATGCGCCGATCCAGAAGTGAGTCGGAGGGTCATGAGCTGGCAGGGCTGCTAAAGCCCATCCCTGTGCTGGAAGCTTCGCAGGGGACTGTTGAAGGGAGAGGACTTCACATTTGTCACCGAAGGAGAGGCCGAAGGGGCAGTCAAGGAACGGGCATTTACAACGTGTACCAGTTCTGCACATTATAAAACAGCATCCGGATCACAACTTTCCCCCCAACTTCCTAAAATACATTTTATCAGTATTGTTATGGTTCTGACTCAAACAACTTCATAAAATTTTTCCTTCTTATGAAGTGGATGCTCTTACACACACTCATTTGAAAGACAGAAGTTCAACTGCCAAGGTCTGTTTAATTAGGAATGTGCACTGAGATGCTATTTTTTAAAGGATCACGGCATACATATGCTATTTGTGGTGCTTTAATTTCCAGGTTTTAATGCATCTGAGATCCAGATTGATTTTATTTGGTTGTACAATGATATAAAAGGGAAAAAGAAAAAGAAAAAATGCATTTTTGTCAACATGTAAAAATTGGGGATTATCCCCATGAAAATCAAGAAGATGAGGCAATGCCCATATAGACGGGTGGGGCGTGGACTCATCTGTTCGCACGGTCCCACCAGGCAACCTCATCTGGTTATGACACCTACGAGTCACCAGCAGGCATCTGGACTTGGAGTCCCTGCTTTGGATGAACCACCAACGCTAACAGCATCGTCACTATAGGCAGAGCCTTGTGCCAGCACCACGGGGAAACAATTAAGTAAGGCCTGGTCTCTGTGTCCCAGTGACTCATGCTGCCTGGGGAGACAGACAGACAGGCACATGGAAATAACTGATCCAAAGACAAATGAAATTCAGGCAATAATGAAGGCACCAAGTGGAGATAAAGAGATTTCTTATGGAGAGACAGGAATGATGTGTTCCCATAAAGGAATGCCACTTCTTCCCCTGCCCCAGGACTTCTTAGAGGGATGCTCCAGGGTCCCTAATGACGTGTCAGTCCCAGCCCACCCTGAGCTAATCCTCAACAAAGCAGATGCACATTCAACCTTTCATTTGTTAATCCAAAAAGAGGTGCCCTAGGGCACACAGCAGAATCACCTCAAAGCTTTCTCACCCTGCACACAAACAGGTCCAACATCTGTGGGGTTGGGCTCCCTCTTTGTAGCAGGTGTCTGGTCATGGGGACATGGAAAGCACTCACCAGGTAGATCTGAGGTCCATCCCCCATTACTCACCGCGGTCCTGCCCTATGCCAGACCCCGTCCCAGGCTACAGCGTCTCTCTCAGGGGCTGCCCACTGAACTG